GAGGCGCGGCGGCACAAGAAGAAGCGGAGGAAGGAGGCGGGCGCCGCGTCCTGCTTCTCCAGCATCAAGATCTTCCTGGTGTCCGAGTGCGCCCTCATGCTGGCCCAGGGCACGGTGGGCGCCTACCTGGTGAGCGCTGCGCCCCGCGAGTGACTCAGCAGGCGGCGGCGTCTGCTCCGGAGTCGCTCCGGCTTCCCGCGGCGGCTCCGGAGCCGCGGCGGCCTGGCTGCCGCCTGGGCTGGTGCCCGGGGGGCGAGGGGGGCACTCGGTGTATGTCACCGCCGCAGGGTGTGGGCTGCCCCAGGACTGTCCCCGGCAAGGTTTGGTCTTCCAGACCCTTAAGGCTGGAGATTGCACCCTCCCAGTGAGAAAGTTGGGGTCCCCCCCCCATCTCATCTCTGCCTAACTTGAGGCCGGTCTGTCATCCTGACGGTCCAGCTCCATCCTCCTTGGAAGGGACTTGAAGGCTGGTGTTCACCGCCCGCCCTCCCCTTGCCTTCTCTTCCCCACGCTCAATAATCCCAGCTCCCCTCGGGAGTCTTTTACCTTCAGTTGTCCCCCAAAATGAGGGACGGGAGTGAGGTCTGAGGGTCAAAATGAGCACGCCAGGGAGCACCGGGCCCTCCAATAAGTCCAAGCAGCTGGTGGATGCTGCCTGGAGACGTGAGCGGATCGGGGACAGGAAAAGGGCCCCGCAGTACCGGGCCGTGTGGAGACTAGAGGCAGCCTCCGGAGAAGCCAGCTCTTCGTTCTCACTTGGGTTTTTCTGACTACAATAAAATAGAGTAGGTCTTCTCTTCCCAAGATCTCTGAAAGCCCACGGCAGGTCACCGTGTTTCTCAAAAGCCCTGGGTGTATCTTGTGAAGCACGTCTGCATGCTTAACAGTGTTAATCCCTTGCAGCAAAAGGATCTCAAGGCACCCCAGGGTGCAGCGGCACCCTGGTTGAGAATCACTGCTCTAGGTAAACAGGTGTGTACGTGCGCGCGCGCGTGTATTCAGGCCCTGAAAATGAAATCGGAGTCTTTCAGTGTGCATCAGTAGATGTGGGTGTTTTTTTTTTCTCTCAAAGCAGCCTGAATGACTAGGAATTGCCTGTCCCATTGGGAATGTATGTGCCCAAATCTGTTAGGCTCTTGTGAAGGTCTCCCCACCCCCTGCGCATACGCAGACATGCACGCACTGTTCATTACTGTATATCGTTCCACAAATTCATATTCCATCAAGGCATCACCCGATTGAAATTTAGATGATGTGACTTGAACAGAAATGTGACAGTAGTAACCACAATTAATATACTTTATAAAGGAGTAAAAATTCAGTTGTTTCCATAAAATAATATATGTCAATTTATGTTACAGCATGTCTAATTACATAAGGAGCTGCTTCACATACACTGAGATTAAATTCAGCAATGAGTTATAATACGTGCATTTGTGGATAGTAATGAATTCTAACGGCCAGCTTGTTCCACACCACTTGTGTCGACTAACACAACTTCACACGTAGGACCTTTGATTTCAGTGGAGCTACTTGCAAAGTGAGTTTCACATGGGCATGAATGAGTGTGGTGCACGTGAAAGGTCAAGCAGTGAAACAAGGAACGACCCATTAAGATGGTACCATCTTGCTTTCCGTGGCATCCTCGTGGCACCAGTAGAGCAAATGTATCCAAACGTATATAGCAAACCTGTCCTGCTTAGGATTGTACGCTACCACTCATCCGCATAGTATCTGAATGCCTTCCATGTCAAATCTGTAGCAGTCACAAAGTCCCTAGCAGGATTTGTGGAGTCTCAGGTGCTTCTCTCTCTTGAATGTAGATCTCTGCTGAGGTTTTGCTAAACCCTGCCCTTCTCCACCTCTTTTAACAGTAGTCGTACTTTATTTTGAAGAGTATGACATCATTCACTTCCCGGTACATCTTGCCAGGTCTTGTAGATCAGCAACAGACAAGCGGCCAAATTAAAAATCCACTGTGTGCTTGACAACTAGCCTGGCCGTACCACACTGAGTGAGTTCAGTCACTGGTTCCTTGTATAACTTATGATTCAGCCCCAGCAAGCAGCAGTCTTTCATATAACTAGCAGATGCAAATCTAGAATTGTATTTGGGGAGCAACATGTAAATGGCAGTGTCCATGCTTGTATTTTTCCAGCTATGCCAGAAGTAGTGGAGGCTAATGTGCGCCTGAGCAGGGGTGGGAAATGTTCAGTGAGATACTGATGAAGTCAAGGCTGGGGTCCTCTCTGTTTTTTGGACAATACGTCCTGCTGGGCCAAATCCAGTTCTTTGTTTTGGTGGTGTGAAATGGTGAAATCGTTGGCGGTATTATGGAACTACACAGGTGAAAGGAGAATTTAATTTCTTGGGAACTCCCCATGTGCATGAAGGATATGGCTCTGAGCAGCTACTTGCAGGGAGGAGGGAGCAATCAAACCTAGCAGAAGGAAAAGACGAATAGGGGAATGTTGTCTGGCAAAATTACAATACGTAGTTCTGGGAAGTTGAACTAAATTCTTTGTTTTGCCCTGTCAGAAGTGACCAGTTCCTGGCTCTGTTTTGCTTGACCACACATAGGACTTTCCTTAGTTATTTGTAACTTGGGGAAAAGAAACCATTTTCCTTCTAGCTGGTGACGCACCACCTTTCTCTGAGCTTTGGTTTGCTTTGACCCTCACACAGGGTGATGAGAAGACTGGGAAACTTTAAAAAAAAAAATCAGGTTTAGGGAAAGACTTATTAACTTGTCAGGTGTGTCAGATGAGCTTCCTCTGGGTTGTGTTTTGCTTTGAGACTTGCAATTTGCTTGTGTTCATTTGTTTCTTTCTATATAGAAATGTCCTGAGTTAAGTACTTATTCTATGTACATGCACTGCAAGTACGTATGCAAAATAGACATCCTTAGCTGGGTGCTCTTGGGGCAGAGATCATTTGTTTCTAATTGTTTATGAAGCAGCATGCATGCCTCTGGCAATGTACAGGTGACAAGCACTAATAATAATCTAGACTATCCAATCCTTCCTCCGTAGAGTTCAGTGACAAAATAAACTGCAACTCTCTGAGTGGATGTGTGCATCCAAGCAGTTTTATCTCTCAGAGATTGCTTAGGTGTAATCTTATGGAGAGATTGATGGACAGGACTTTTCCGAGTCCCTGTCAATTCATGGCACTTCGCTGCTGAAATTTACATGTCGGAAAATGACTGTGTGCCCTTGCCTCATTACGGGCCTGTTCTGCATAGCATATGCAAATGATAACCCTGGCTTAATTTCTGAGTTTGCTGCATACGCCCTGTCATTTGTATGTTCTCCTCACACTTTGTTTTTTCTCTTGTCTGGCTTAATCTCATTACACCACATCCTTTCAGAAAACTGAATTTGCTAGGGGCTGCAAGAGTAGGGAAACCACAGCTCACCAGCTGCAGGCTTTCCTGCTGCACAAGTCTGCCCGCAAGTTGCTCGGGATATAAGCATCAACTCTAAAAGCCGGTATCTATGTTTTCCTTCCTTCTCCTGAACCACAGGCCCACAGATTATTTTACTGAGCTCTACTGCTCCAGATGGCACTAAGAGCAAAAGGCTAGAACCAGTGTCTGGCAGGAAGAGTGGTGTGTCCCTGCTGTGTGTCTTTCCAGCAAATGCAGCAGTCTGATTCGGCATGCTGGCCATGCACACTGACGGTGATTTAGATGAGACTCATTTTGATACCGTGGCAACACTTTCCCCCCTGAATTCCTTCGTTCGTTATAGTTTGGAATATTTTAACTGGAGACAGTGCTCCAAGTGCTTCTGCTGGTTTCCTCACCCTGCCACTCAAATTTCTACTTGGCTAGTGGTGAAATCATTGCTTTACCAGAGACAGCAGCTCTCAGTTTGACAGCGACAGTTTGTGGACCTGGAGCACAATTTAATTTTCTCTTCTCAGCTTTTAGCTTCTGATAGCTCTGGTTCAAACTGACCTAGTTGCGAGGATCCAACAGCTGCTCAAGACATCAGCTGCTCAAATAAAGGGTACAAATACAGAAACCACATTTAGAAAGACAGTGGTTTTTGTGTGCTAGGGTGGTTGTTTTTAGAGAGATCTACTGAGATGGCTCTAGCTCTTTGCTGGAAGCCGTTTTGAATGAAGCTATTCATGTGCTTCATCAAGTGATGGAGGACTGGCTAGGGTGAAAGATGCAAAGGACTGAACCTGTTGGATCCTCTTGAGGAGCATATGTTGGACCTTGCATGGGACTGAGTGCAAAATATTCCTGAATGAAAAATTTTGAGGGCTCTTTTCAACTCCCTGCGCTGAGTTTCATGCATGCAACAGACTTCAGCTGGAGCTGGCAACAAGCTGCCTTAATGTCTGTGCAGAAATGGAGGCCTGTATGTGATTTTAGTACATTTGCCAAAGACACCAAATGCAGCACGCAGTCAGTTCTGGTTCTTATCAAGAGACTTCATGGTAATGAGTGGGGGTTTTTTAATGACAGAATTCAGGAAAAGAAATGTGAAAAAGGCAAATTGCAAAAATTAACCATGACAGTTATTTCAGCGAGAGTAAACAGAAGCCCATATCCTGTGGGGCAGGTGCTGCCATTTGAAGTCCAAGTGTTGGGTCTAGTGATGCTTCAAAGTGATGGCTGAATTTGGCCCTGGTTATTTTACTATGCAGCACTAATAGGTAACGACAAGGTGTTCCTGGGACCCAGCCATGTTCACATGGAGGTCGATGTTAAAATGCTCGTGGAAGCAAGGCATTTCAAGCAATCTATTTGAAATATCCTGGGGGCACTGAGGAGCCCCACCTGAGATCAGTGCCCCATTGTGCGTGCTATTGTACAGGCATCCAGTAAGCAAGGTTTCCTGCCACACAGCAACTTTCAGCCAAAACAGAGAAGGGACTGGAGAAGTGAAGTATCATTTCGTGCTGTAGGTGGAAAAACTGAGATATGAATTAAAGTCTTGAGCCTACTTGTTGAAGTCAATGACAAAGCCCTTGTTGAGTATCAGGGTGCATAAGGAGGGACTGATGACCTCCCCCAGGGCAGGGCAGGCACTGGATTCCAGATCTCTTGGGGTGCAATCTGATGACTTAACTGCCAGACTGATTTTTTTCCAGCAAGTTTATTGCATCGTTTT